CTCTCTCTCTCTCTCTCTCTCTCTCTCTCTCTCTCTCTCTCTCTGCCAAGGCTGTTTGAACGGCAGCAAAAAGTCTGAGGCCTCCAGATACTACATCCAACCCTGAAAAGGTTCTTTTTTTGGGACCCTTTGATTTGTTTGTGTTGATGGGACAAGAAGGCACAGTATGCATGTGGAGCTCAGGTTACACTCTTAGGAGGTAGTTCTTGTCTTGCACAATTTAGATCTTCATGATTGAACTCTGATCATCAGGCTTGGTAGCAAATCTACCCACAGAGACATCTCACCAGCTCTTGGGACCCTTTTAGAAGGAAGAAAACGTTTTCTCTTAGGTGTATTTCCTTCGTAGTTTACTGTCCCAGAACTAGGTATGGCCATCCTTAGGTCCTTCTCTGGAAATGGGAGTGGCTTTATCCTCATTGACTAGGGAAGAAAGCATCATTGCAGGGCTGCGATAACTCAAGAAAGAAAACAGTTTTTATTATTATTATTATTATTATTTGGTTTAGTTTTTCGAGACAGGGTTTCTCTGTGTAGCTTTGCGCCTTTCCTGGATCTCACTCTGTAGACCAGGCTGGCCTCGAACTCACAGAGATCTGCCTGTCTCTGCCTCCTGAGTGCTGGGATTAAAGGCGTGCGCAACCACAATTATTTATTATTGTTTTTAAGCTCTCAGTTTTGGAGGTTCAAAAGTATAGTGCTGGCCCTCCAGGTGCCTTGCATCATGGTAAATGGCAACCTGGTAGGTGTACTAGATAGAGGGAGAGGTCACGTGGTGGGGCACAGGAAGCCAGGACTGGGTTGGGGCCTGTCTTAGTCTTTTCTCCCAGTTCTCTATTAAGTACTAACCAGGGCTCTAGATGAACTGGTTAATTCCTTCAAAGGGTACCCATGGGATGATCTTATCACTTGCCGTGGGGTTCCAGCTTGGGTCATTATGAGTCAAGTTTTTAAGAACACCTAGGAGGGACTCTGTGTAGAGGAGTCGTCTTTTCTCTTAAGTTCTCTCTATCGCTCTCAGTTTCTCCTCCTCAGGAAAAAAAATATTTCCAGCAGATTCTTCCATCTGTTCCCTGCAGACTTTCACATAAGTTCCACTGACTGGTTCTAGGTCATCCCCATGTTCCCAAATTAAATCACCTAAGAGGAGGGCCTGGGGTCACTTTGGGGCAACCATTTTCCATTAACTGTGGTGAGAGCTTTCCCAGGATTGAGTTACCTTCCCCAAATAAAACCAGTGTCAAGATCTTGCAGGAGAAAGCGGTTAACTCCCCCCTTTCCCTTTATATACAAGTATTTCCCTACAGGGTATAGAGGATTATTGCTCATATTTCACAGTAAGAATCTTTCCTCTGACATAAAGGTACTTGAGTAGATCTGCGGCTGACAGATATTCAACAGTAGTCCTAGCAATAAGTAAAGAAGACAAAAACAGATTAGGAAAAAAACCTTGACAGAAATAGAATTGCTCTGGGGACTCTGATGTGAGGGCACGTGTTTCACAGGGACAGAATCCCACCAACTGGCTGCCAGATGTGGGTCTGCCCTGAGATGGGGCATACTGTTCTGCCCTACAGCAAATCAGATGTAGAGGCGAGAGCCATCTGGCATGGTACACTTGGCAGAGCCTGGAAAGATGGGCGAACTCACGTGGTAGGTTATTGTTATTATTCTGGGTTATTATGGCGCTTGCAGCAGGGTGAGCTCTTTACCCCCCTCCCTAGCTTCCCTTCTGCAGCTGCCCTGAAACAGCTGGCACAGGGTTCCTGGCCCCAGGGTGTCTTTCCTTCAGGCAGGGTGGATGGCTTTGTAGTTCCTAGGTGTTAAATGCTAACCTTTTCAGCTCTGTCTTCACTTACCGTTTCTCTCCTTTCTCCCGCCCCCCTCCCTGTTTTCTCTGCTAAAGAGTTTTCCTCTGTAGCTTGAAAGCAAGAGAACAGATCTTAAATATTGTATTCTGCATCCCTCTACGTCTAGCATCCTGCCTTGAACAAAGTAGGTGCTCAGTAGTTATTTCCAGCGTGTCCTCACCACAGAGAGGGACCAGAAGAAACCTTGGTGACATTAATGTTTCCACTCTCTACTGATTTCTACATAGCTATTTACTGGTAACAGCTAAGAGGGACCATATCAAATACATCTTTGGTGCACTCTTCAGATACCAAACATTGTCCAAACATCTTATTCACCACGATTTTCAACGATCTGTTACTAAGAATCAGAATGGGTTAGAGCTGGAAGGCATCCTGGAGGTGACATTTCCCAGAGAGGACCAGAGCTGTGAAGGATTTGCTCAAGGCCATGGTGCTAGTGGAAGGCAGAGCAAAACAGTTATTTATAATTCCTTGTATTCCTGGGAGGATGTCAGTGGTTTCCAGGGCTCCTAAAACATAAAAGCAAAATTACGACAATTACAATCAGGAACAAAAGAGAAACAGATGACTTTCCAAAGAGCTGAGAGCAAGGTCAAACAAACACACTAGAAAGACAAACAGCAAAACGATATCCACACACTTGCCTCTGAATGTCTATATGCCGACGTCAAAATAGAAAGAGAAATCCAGACAGACACAAATCCATGATATACACGAAAGAAACATAGACCAGGAACTCCAGGAAGCCCAGTCGATGTTGGCATCAGTATCTGACAGGTATAAAGAGCCCTGTGGGTTGTAACAATGGGTCCTTAACAATATCCTAATGGTGCATCCAACAACCAGCACTCCTCAGTGCGGGGCTGGTAGCCGGTGGCAACACAGCAAAGCTCAATCTGAAAAAAAAAAATCACTTTATGTGGGTGTAAGAGAACTGAGAGACAAATCCAGGATTACTGGAGAGGGGAAAAGCTTGCCAAATTGAGATGTGCAAGAACTTACCTCGGAACACTGTGACATCAGGAGTACAATAATAATTACTGTTCATAATTATGACCTAGAGGCACTGCAGACCCAAAAGTATTTTCTAAATCATCTAAGAGAAATTTTAAAAAGTTCAGTCTGGTTTCAGATTAATTTAGCACTTAATTAGATACTGTCATCTGTTCCAGCTTTTATTCTGCATATTTGTTTTATCCCTTTAATTAGGTTGTCATGTTTTTGAGGACGGGGGCCTATATCTAGGGGAGGTGCCATTTTACTTCAACAGAATATGAATCCTCGGCTCTTGGCTGTGGAGAAGGAGATCCCTACCTGGGAGGGATAGCTGGACATCCTAGCTCTGATTATTCTGAGCTTTTTGTGATTTTTTTTTTTCACTGCTTTGTGCCAGGAACAGGAGGTGGCTACTGCTTTATTATTAAAAACACTTCTTAATTCCAGTCCTGTATCTCAGAGCACATTGGAGACTAATTTGTAATATTAATAAGACTTTAAAGGGGCCTAAGATAACGAAAGGAAAATAGACTAACTTGAGGGGACAGAATCCCATTTATAACCAGCACTACTCATTGCTAATGTCAACAGACATGAACAGTGGGATTGGGAGCAGAGACTCTGGAGCCAAACTGCCTGGGCTGAAATCCCAGCTCTGCCACTCACCTGCTGTTCAGCCTAGAGTAGGTTACTTAACCTCATGGTCTTTTCCCTCATCTTCAGAAAGATGGTGATGGTACCTATAAAGTAGATAACAGTGTGCTAGTAACTCTTTCCATCCCTGTGACCAAAGCCCCGACAAAGCCACTGGAGGCAGGAGTTCTTTTGGTCCCTGGTTTCAGACTGTCCAGTCCATGGCAGCTTGGTGCTGTGAGCTTGAGAAGAACGTTATGGCAGTGGGATTGTGTGGTGAAGGACGTTCTTCACTTATTGGTGTTCAGGAAGCAAAGAGAGGATATTGAAAGAGGCCAGAACAAGGTATGGCCAAAGGCAAGCCCCTGATGAACTACTACCTTCAGCTAGGTTCCCTTTACCGCCTCCCCATAATGCCATGATATTGTGAATCCATTGAAGGACAGACCCATTCGTTAGGTCAGAGCCCTCATGGTCTGGTTGTCTCTGGAGATGTCTTCGGAGAGTCGAGAAGAAATGCACTTCGTGAATCTCTTGTATCTCCCATCCAGTCAAGTTGAGAATGAGGTTCAACCATCGTGGCAGTGTTGGGAAGGTAGAGCGAATATGGAAAATGGTAGTTTTAGACAGCAAATACCTGCTACTTATCAATATGGTAGCTAAATACTTTTTTTTTCCCTGAAAAAGCCTTCTTATGTAGCCCAGGATGGCCTTGACTTTTTGATCCCCTTGTTGCAGATGCCTCAGGGCTGGGATTATAAGCCCTTACCGCCACACCTACCCATTAAACACTTTTTATAAACTGGCTACTTTATATATTGTAATTCAGTCTTTAAATAATGTTCTAATTTGGGTACTCTCAAATATCTTGGTCTTTACACTCTTTAAAATTGAGGACTCTGAGAACTTTTGTTAATGTGTGTTATATCTAAATATTTACTTTATTAAAATTTAAAATGAAGAAATTAAAAATATTAATTAACTAATTAAAAAATAACAATAAGCCCAATATACATGAATAAAGTAACATAATTACTGGAGAAAATAACCACATTTTCAAAACAAAAACGCTTATGAGAAGGAGGCTTTGTTTTACATTTTTTGCAAGCTTCTTTAAGGCCTGGCTTAATACAAGATAATTGGATTCTTGTAATTGTTCCTGTGTTCAAACTGTTGCAGTGCTGAATATAATGTTTGGGTTTAAGTATATGAGGAAAATCCAGGGCACACAGATATGTAATTGGAAAGGACTGGGTTGTTTCTTTAGTCTGTCTTATAATTGCGCTCCATTCTGTGATCGTCTCTATACTGGATGGCTACAGGGTTCCTTCCTTCCTTCCTTCCTTCCTTCCTTCCTTCCTTCCTTCCTTCCTTCCTTCCTTCCTTCCTTCCTCCCTCCCTCCCTCCCTCCATTCTTTCTTCCTTCCCTCCCTCCATTCTTTCTTCCCCCCTCCCTCCATTCTTTCTTCCCTCCCTCTCTCCCTCCCTCCTTCTTTCCCCCTTCCCTCTCTCACTCTGTCTTTCAATACAGAGTTTCACTACCTATATAGCCAGAGTGGCCTTTCACTCATGATCTTCCCTACCTCAATCCCCTGAATATATTGGGACCATGGGTATGTGCCAACCATACCTGGCTAGGTAGATTTTTAAAGCTTAGCTGCAGTGTGAAATCTGAAACCATATTAATGAACTTTTCATCCTCCATTGCCTTAAAATATTGCTCTATCTTGCACCTTGAAAGAGTCGTTCATCTATGTATGACTTTTACAGCATTCGTTGGTCAATTGGAAAATGTTGATTCATTGAGTTCTATAGATCAGCTAAGTTTTGAAACATTCATGTTTATTAATATCAACACCAATCTCCTTAAAAATGTTCCTAAATATTGGACAGACATCATGTACATGGGTTTCTGCAGATTCTAATTTTCTTTAGAAAGCTCACAATTTATTATTGGAACAAATATTATCATTGATTCCTTCAAAATGACAGACTGACTTTGGCTATTTTTCAGGACAATGCCTGCCGAATATCTGAGTCCGAAGAGCCATAGTTTGCCTGTCAGTCACTCTATCCGGCCAACATGATATCCATCAGAAGTCAGTGAGCTCACTGGTCATTTAAGCATCATGCTGGTGTTTAGCTTGATGTAGCTGTTGCACTTAGGAGTACAGCGAAGCTTCTTTTCATTCTTCCAATTTCTTTTACAAACTGTGTTTAAAATCCATATACTCAATGGACTGAGATTTAATAAAAACAATCTCATTGTTTCTTCAGGTTCTTCTTAAGGCTACTCTCTTAAGGTGCAAGGCATACAAATGCTTGGCAGTAGGTGCTGTGACCTTGACTTGTACAGTGGCAGCAATAGTGTCATCTGCCATTTCATCTGCATCATCGGAGCACATTTCAGTATGTAAGAGCTTGGAATTGTTAGTGTGTTAGTGAATTTGCTAGTGAATTTGTTGCTGTAACAAAATACCTGAGGCAGGCTAACCTTATTCACAGTCACTGTATTGAAAATACACACACTCTGTATTGAAAGAGAGAGTGAGAGAGGGAAGGGGGAAGGAAGGGAGGAGGGCGGAAGGAAGGAAGGACGGAACCTTGTAGCCATCCAGTATAGAGATGACCACAGAATGGACCGCAATTATAAGACAGACTAAAGATTTACTGAAGGTAAAATCAGTACAAGGGTCCTAAGCAGATGGCAAGAGTACAAGGGAGGAAGCGCTCTCTGGCCAATAGGATGCCAGAGATCTGCCCCAGTGACTTACAGACTGCCCATTCGATTCACTTCTTAAGGGTTCCATGCTACTCAGTCTGCTAAACTGAGGACCAAGCCCCCAACACATGAAGCTGGGAGACAAACCACTTCCAAGGCGTGTCAATTCTGAATTTTTTTCTGCCTTTATGGATTGCCAAGAACCCTAGGGACCCCATTGCCATATTGAAAGCCATTCCTTTGACTTTCCATTTTCTAAGAGCTACCTTAAGCCCAGCTAGAATCTTTCATATCCAGATCTAATAGTCTGGGGCCAGTCCTCTCATCTCTGTTCCTGTAATTTGTAATCCAATCATGGACTTCAGCACCTAAACTTGGGGCAACAGCTATACTTTTGAAAGCAGCAAAGGCGTTCTACGCATGTTCCTGAATTCTCATTTCCCGTCTGTTCCTCTTCGGAATAAAAAGAAGCATGATGCTGCTGGGTTGGGTGTGAACACTGTACATTCATAGAGAGGTGTCTACATGCACATCTAGGGACACATCATACGTTGTCAGGCTCTGCTGGCCATCCCCCAGTTCCTCCAAGGACTGCCCCTACCCCTACATCTTCACATCAGTTGGATGGAGGTGAAGTTCCTGGTTTTGAAGTAGTCCCTGAAAGAGAGATGGGCTTTCAGAAGCATCACCCACATATCCCAGACCCTTCTACGGTCTTTATACACTCCTGTCTTTGGCTCTGTGATTATAGCTGTACATGATCTTTATCCTGCCCGGAGCCGGGCTCAGTTGGGGATGAGAAGTGGGCGATGAGTGGGAGGATAAGAGTATGGCTGCTATCACGGAATAAAGACCTAAGGAAGCCAGGGGGGAGCCAAGGAACGGAGTGCAGAGCAGCAGTCATTTGTTACAGCTGAAAAATTAAAAAATACATACATAACAAGCGCTTGCGTGGCCTCACCAACCAGAATTGACAAATGTTAATGTTTTGTCATATTTATTGTAGATCTATTCAAATAAAAGAAATAAAACATTACAAATAAGATTTAAGTCCCCTAAGTCTATATTCTTTAAATATTCATTTCACATTTACTTTGAAGAATGGCAGAGCACTGTGCAAGGAAGGGCAGAGGAGGATAATCTCTCCTTCCAGCAGTCATCCCTCCCCACCCCGGCTACCCATTCGGTGAACAAAAGCAACACCGTCACTGGACAGATGCCCCCAGGAAGCAGTGGAGTAGCTAAGCACCCCACCCCCACCCCAGCCCACAGACCAGCAGGACTCTGTCTGAGAGGTCATCAGGAATTCCCTGGATCCTTTTGCATTTTTATGGGGGTCTGAACGCTGCTCCATTTAAGCGGCATCTCTCTCTCTCTCTCCCCCCTCCCTTTCTTGTTCTTCCCCTCCCACCTGGTCTTATGCATTCCAGGCTGGCCTTAAAGGTGCTGTGTAGCTGCGGATGACCTTGAATATATGATCTTCCTGCCTCCACCTCCAGAGTGTTAGGATGAGAGGTCCATGCTACCATGCCCGGTTCTTGTGGAGCTGAAGATCCATCCCAGGACTTAGTGGAGGTTAGGCAAACACTGCCCGCTCAGCTACACCCCCAGCTGCACTGCCATCCATGCACTGCATAGACCTGCTAATTCTTCTTTGTCAAGCTAGAGCCCTGTGAGCCTACCAGTCTTCACATGGATGACTTGGCCAAGCAAATGGCAGTTGTCTGTGTCCACAGCCTCGGGAAAAAGAGAGCGCAAAGAAGCCAGCTTTCCTTTCCTCTCCTTCCCCTTCACATCATCTCTACAGCTACAATAAATCAAGCTGCCTGACTTTTTTTTTTTTCCAGTTGCATCTGAATCTAATGCCCTCAGTCCAGAAATCTCTGTTATATCACTCAGTGAGTGGCAAGAGCAATGGGCTCTTCTGATTAGTGAAGCTCAAGAGAAGAAATGAATCATAGTGCCTTTGTATTCTAGGACATGGGTCTGGGATGAGTGAACGCAGGAGGTCGGCCAAGACGCAGCCCCGGTGACTCAATTCTTAAATGATTTACAATGAACCTAGCCCTAGAGATTTATTCTGAATAAATATCCTCATTTAATAAGTATTAAAGAGAAAGGTAAGATGGAAGAGCCAAGGCAGGGGTGGGGGATGGAGGGGTGGGGGATGGAGGGGTGGGGTGCCGGCTGCCTGCCTTTGATGATCTCCCCATCTCAGTTTTGCTCTCTGCAGGATGGGGCTGCTCAGGAGCAGATTTTAGAGGTGATTGGAAGTGGCTTGGAAAATTCCTTATCAAAGCCAATTTCACAGGGAAAGAGTTGGGCTTTATGGCATTTCAAGATAAAATGACAAACAAACTGAGTCTCCCAAACCAGTCAAGCATCCAAGCAAGGAGGCAGGGATGACCCTGGTCCCTCAGAATGCTCAGCAGAATGCAGCAGCTCTTCCAAGCCACGTGGAGTTAAGACAGCAAGAAGGCTAAGCTTTCTATCATCTGAGAATCAGGAAAAACAGGACAGGTTGATCCAAACACCCCAGAGTGAATGTAAGGGCACACCAGGAGTCTGTGTAGAGCCTCTATATTGGTTTCAAGAGAAACAAACTGACCATCATGGTGTGTGTGTGTGTGTGTGTGTGTGTGTGTGTGTGTGTGTGTGTGTGCAGCTGGGAAGACCCCAAGTTTACCATGTGAACAGCGAAGAAAAAAGTGAAAACTTACTCAATACAAGGCTGCAGGCTTGAGGATGAGGTGCAGATGGGGAGTAGATGTAGGGAAGGTGTGTCACCATGCCTGGCTGTTTCCAATGTGGCCTTGAACTCACAGAGATCCAGAGGGATTTCTGCCTCTGGAATGCTAGGATTAAAGGTGTGAGTGCCACCATTTTCTAGTGTCTGTATCTAGTTATGTTCTTTGACCCCAGAAAAGTTTATTAGGGTGCACAATATTTTGGGGAACACAATACCACCACAGGGAAGGAGAAAGGTGAGATGTTGGTGATGCCTTTTAGATGAGACAGGGCTCTACCTCTTTAGCTCCACCTCCCAGTCTAAACTCCTTTTTACTCAGGGGCATTATGTGTATGCTTAGTCTGGAGAGAATGATTAAAGAATGTATTCTGTAGCTGAAATACTGTAGGGTGAAATCTAGCCAAATCCAAGCATGCTGGAAAGAATGACTTGGCCCAACACCACATACTTTCTACTTTGGGTGGTTCCCAAAGGCAGTCTTCAGGTTAGCAGCATTAGTGCTACTGATGAACTGGATAAAATGTGAATTTGAAGCCCCCAATCTCAGGCCTATTGGATGATAAACACTTGGTTGGACTTCTAGTACTCTGTGATGGAGCAACCCTTCCATGTGGTTGCAATTTGAAGATGGCTGGTATATTCATGCTTTACCCACCGGTACCCATGGAACTTGTATATTCTTTTCTTTCTATGAATGCTGGCTGATTATTGACTTGTAATAGCCCCCTTCCTGGAGGCCAGCCATCAGCCAAACAGGGAGCCTTTTTGCCAAGGGAGATAATATAGGCAACCCACCCCCTCCCTCAATGCAGAGGCCAATGACTGACACAGAGTTCAAAGGCTAACCCCTCACCACAGTAGAGAGCCAATTTGTGCTCTAGAGCTCCAGGTGGGGACCAGATGCAAACTAAGACCACAATCAGGGTACAACTTTCTTCCCCCTCTTCAATATCCTGCTTGCTTCTCTACCCTTCCTAGAATATTTTCTCAGAAAGTGATTTTCAGAAGATCCCCATCTCTGCACTTCTTAGGAACTTGACAGTCATCAAGATTAAGTGAAGAATTGAAGGATTTCTGAAGTAAATTTAGAGTCTCATAGGAACACCTGAAAGTATTTAGACAATTAAGCAGAATATGATTTTTGATTAGCTTTTACATGTATCATAGTTTGGAAGATGTGCTACCATGTACACCAGAAAGAAGAGCAGTGATGGAATGCTGGCATTCAATTTCTTTAGTGCCGGAGGATGGCTGACTGAGTCCTTAGCATTCTTGGAGGTGCTTAAACATCTTCATTAGTTTGTTCTCAGACTTCTAGAGAGGGTGGTGATTAAGGGCTTTTGGCCGATAAGAAGAATGAATCACAGGAAGGGTAAGTGATGGCTGAGAGCCAGTGACTAAGTGAAATGAAATTCTACTTCCCCACCCAACTCCACCCCCACACACTGTAACCCATCCCTTCCTATAATGATCATGTACAATCATTAGATATAAATCTTCACCCCTCTAGAGTAACTTGAAGAAAAAAGAATTTCTGGGCAGGAAATGTGGCAAAATAAAGTTTCAGTGAAATAAGGACTACCATCCATTATTTAGCATAGAAAACAGTTTGATGTTTCCATCCACATTATAGTTTTCTGTACTTGCACAGAACAATGAGGAAATTTGACAGTTATCTGGATAACAAGGGCTACATGGACTTGGAAGCAAAATGGGCAAGATTATTCCAGATCTCCATGGATATGTCCTTCTAAACAGGGGCTCTCTGGAGTTGTGTCTAAGGATAGACCCTACAGAATCGAAGACTGGGATTGGGAGAGCTTTGTTTTCTGCAGTCAAGGTCACTTGTACTTGGCCAGGGCTGATACTGGAATCATTGAAGTAGTCGGGGTGCATGGGATGCTGAATGTATTGAGCGGGTCTGAGTTGGAAATGTATTTAGCATGGGCCTTACGTGGGGAATATAGTGACTTGTGGATGTAGTCTCTTGTGTAAGATATGTCACTGTGACCTTTAGTGCTCTGCTCTGTGAATAATTCCATTTAGCAAGCGCTTTCTATTGAATTCCTGTTATGTACCAGCCAGTGTATCCAGTGCTGTGGATACAGAGATGGAAGACACAGGCAGGCCTTGACTTCCTGGCCTGAAAAGGTAAGATAGGTAAGTGGAGAAGACATTGCCTGTGCTTTAGACCAATGCTGAGGAAACACACAGGAAGGAGCTTTGTCTTGCCTGGCTAGGGGCTGGTAGAGCAGGCTACTGAACCGAAGCCTTCTCTAATGAAGTGACCTGTGAGTTGTCTTGAAGGATAAGAATAATGGACTAGAGACCAGAAAAGCTGGTTTGGGAGAAGAGGGGAGGTAGGATGTCACTCTCACTGGAAGGAACAGGGTGGAGAGATGAAGCGCAGTAGGACGGGAGAGTCGTGTGTGAGGTGGGGACAGCTATTGATCATGTGAGGCTGAGGAAGGATATGGGGTCTAGAGCATGAAAGGTCTACGATGCTAAAGACAACATCTTGGACTTTATCATAAAGGTGATTCTTAGTCATAAAGATACCAATTGGGTGAATGGGAAGAGGGGACTTTAAGAAGATTTTTGTGATAGAAGTATGGCAGTTGAGGGGGGTTAGCAAGGCAGAGACGACAGACAGGAGTTTGTGCTGCAATAGAGGAAAGAAGCAATGGAGGTTTGAGTAGGGAAGGACACCTCAGTCTTTGACAGATGGATTCTGATTTTAATATCAGCTCCTTTTCCAACCATTGTCCATGTGAGCTGAGGTAGCCTTAGTTTCTCCGTATGGAGAAAGTGTAAGGTTGTGAGGATTGGATGAGGTGTTATCAGTGAAGGGTTTGGTGTAGTGACAAAATCACAGAATACAATAAAAATGAAATGTAGGGCTGAGGGTGTAGCTCAGTTATAGATACATGTTTATTTGGTTCACAGTCTAAGATGGAGAGGTAAGACTGACCCAGCCTAGTGAGGACCTCTTTGGCTATATTTCACCATGGTGAATAGAATCTTTATGAGAAGTGAGAGTGAGAGAGATCCAATGGTGTGTGGTTTGAAAGAAAATGGCCCCCAAAGGGAACGGCACTATTAGGAAGTGTGGCCTTGTTGGAGGAAGTGTGCCACTGTAGGGGTGAGCTTAGAGGCCTCTTTTGCTCACGTTTCCTTCGGTGTGACAGT